ATCGATCTGACCAACATGGAGAAATCCCGTCTCTACTAAAAATACAAAATTAGCCGGGCATGGTGGCACATGCCTGTAATCCCAGCTACTTGGGAGGCTGAGGTAGGAGAATTGCTTGAACCCAGGAGGCAGAGGTTGCGGTGAACCGAGATCGCACCATTGCACTCCAGCCTGAGCAACAAGAGCGAAACTCCGTCTCAAATTAAAAAAAAAAAAAAAAAAAGATGCTTTTATATATTTTGTGTATCATGAATTCTCTTATAGCAGAGTATATAATTTAAGACCATCACCTCAAAAGAAAACAAAAACATAGGGAGAGACACCAGATTACTTTTGTGTAAGCAGAGTTTGTTATACACAATTGCAAAATTCTGTTTTCTTAGAAGACACTATTATATGTACACTTAGGTGTTTAGAAACCTGAAGAAAACCTCACATTTTCATTAAAAGAGAAACTTAGCACTATATTATTACAAAGGAAATAGGACTTAAAGGTGTTTTTAAAATTTTATTGTAATGGTCTTTGATTAAATTCCTATCTCAGGACCTACCTAATTTCCTACTGAATTTCTCCCCCATCCCCTGCCCACTTGCCTTTGCTTGTGTGTTTTTCTAACCTAACCTCTTCATCTATCAACTACTTTTTAGAAATTTTCTTGGCTTTGCTTATCTTTTCTGCCCATCCATCTGTTACGTGATTACCCTTCAGATCCCAAGAAAAAGAGTTTATTATTCCAAAATGCCTCGCCCTTATCACATTCTTACTTTAAAACCCCTTCAACAACCTTAATAAACTTTAATCACATAATTTTATGAATCTGGTCAAAATGTCAGAATGTTTTAATATATTCAACATTGTTAAACTACAAATGATAAAAATATTAAAACAACCAGGCCTTTGACTTTTTTTGTGATTATCGCATCCTACTTCTAAACCTCCAAGCTTAAATTATTTTCTGACTACAATCTCTGATTCTTCCACTTTACTCCCCAGTTGCTCATTCCTGCTGGTGGTCATCTTCCCTTCATCCCAGCCTTCCATTTCAGTCCCCCAAGATCACCTCCCCCTGTGGCTCAGTAGGCTTCTCTATTCAACATAGACCTGTTGTCAGTCATTTCAACAACATTTTAATAACATTCTAGAATCCTGTAGTCTGTGTTTCTAAAGCGTGACTCTCTCTATTCAGTGTCATTTTATTGCTCAAAAATCTTTAATGCTTCACATTGCCCACCTTCTTCTCTCACCCTTCATTTAGAAGAGACCTCTTCTCTGTAGGCCTGAGAACAATTGTTTTGAGCTTTGTTGTTCTCCTCCCTGGATTGTGTCGATCCTTCACTGCTTGGACCCTTCCTTGGTCACAAAGATGCTTAGTAAGTGCATGCCGAGAGATGGGGGGTTGTACAGGGACTCCTGAAGGTGTGTGTGTGGTGTTTTTTTTTTTTTTTCAATTTGTTTGTTTGTTTTAATAATTAGAATCTGTTACATCCAGATAAGGACAACAACTGGGATGTGGAAAAAATGTGTCTTATAGAGAGAGAATCTGACAATCTAGTGATACTAAAAAAGTAGTTTGTCCTGGGTGTTATGCATTTATATGGTTCTGTTTCGGTAGTGAAGGTATTTATTTTGCTGGTACAGTGCAGTAATTGTTACATTTTAGCAAAAGTACACAATATCCTTTTATAACCCAGTGTCTTCAGATAGATTTCAAATGTAATTGGATATTCACTGAACCACATCTTTATTGTTTTCACTACTTTTCTATAAGTTGAGAAAACTGATATTTCACCCTTAATGCCTTTCACCTGATACTTTAGCAAATAAATTATGCATAGGAAGTGAAAGTAAATCACTGCAGTTCCTTATCCCTTACCACACATATTTATGGATGAAAAAAATTGAGGCATAGCTTGCCTTGTCTTTTTCCTTTTAAACTTGTGGAAAATTAGTAGCTAAACTGAGAATTAAGGACATCAAATTCAGATTTTTCAAGATTCTCTGATTAGTTAATCAAACATTGCCCTTTATGTTTGGCAAAATAGTCATTAATGACATATTTGAATTTTGTGACCCATTAAAATGTTGTTCGGTGTTCTATATTGAGAAAATGGTATTTGTGTTATATCTCACTTTATTCTTTTATGAAACATTAGGAGTGGAAAAGCTTTTATGCTTTCTGAATCCCTTGTTAAAAAAACTATGTTGTTGACAGTGAATGTTTCTCAAAATAAAGCTGTGAGTATTTTAAATGGACAGATAACTATTTTCTGCTGGGTTTGCATGTGTTTATAGATGTTGAAGCAATTAGAAATGTTTTTTGCTGTTAAAAATGACTTTCTGTGTTTTCCCAATATAATAATCACTAAGACATGTTCCCTCATAAAATCGATCTTTTTTAAATCATGAAAATAAGAATGTATTTTGACATTTCATTAATATAGCAGCTTCATTTATTTGGCAGCAGTGCGATAGAAAGCTGGCGCTGAGCTCTGAATGTGGGAGAAGGGTGCGTCTCTTTCCCTGGCTACCTGTTAGGATTGTCCTTTAGAACCATCTCTTGGCACTTCCAAGTAAAAGCCAGTTTCATGAGCCAATGTGAATTGTTTTTAAGGGTTTTTATTATTTTATGGCAGCGTTATTTGTTTTTCTTCTACCTTGATTTTTGAGCTTCTGTCAATGTTTCATTATTATGAGGAAACACCATTCACCTGGAAACATTGTAATACGAAGTAAAGAAAACTTATTATCACAACTTGTATTTTCATAATTTCTTTGTAAGTTTATTCCTCAATTACAGTTTTATTGTTTAGGCTAAATAGTTTTTGTCTTGTGGAGAGTGAAATCGTGTCTTGGAAGCACTCAGACACTCCGGCTAGAAACTGTTATTCTTGACTTTTCTACCTCCCTCATCAAAGCATATCTATTCTTTTCCAGAAAAGTTCCTGAGCCCATCTATTGCCTTCCTTTCTCCGTCCGTTACCACTACTTTACTCAGGCTCTTACCTTCCCTCGCCTGGATATAACATTGCCTACAGTATTCTTCCAGTTAGTTGCCAGTCCCTCCCCTTTCTAATTATTTCCCCACACTACTTTGTTTCTCAAGTGTAAACTGGATTATGTCAGTTCTTGCCTCATACCTTTTCATGATTTTTCACTGCCTGCAGAGTATAGGATACAGGCTTCTCACCCTCTGCCTGCCTTGTGTTGTATCTAACAAGCCCCCTGCCGCCCAGCTATCCTTAACTAGTTCAAATATGTGTTAAGTAGCTGTGATGTTTATTATCACCTCCTCTAATGCAGACATACTAAGCCTTTCTGATTATAGATGAGTAGAGGAGAAATGCCATTCCTAATTCTGATACTTAACATCTGTAACTGAGCAGATAGAAAGTACTGTCTGGAGGCTGGGCGCGGTGGCTCACACCTGTAATCCCAGCACTTTGGGAGACTGAGGCGGGCAGATCACGAGGTCAGGAGATCGAGACCATCCTGGCTAACACGGTGAAATCCCGTCTCTACTAAAAATACAAAAAATTAGTTGGGCATGGTGGCGTGCACCTGTAGTCCCAGCTACTCAGGAGGCTGAGGCAGGAGAATGGCGTGAACCCGGGAGGCAGAGCTTGCAGTAAGCCAAGATCACGCCACTGCACTCCAGCCTGGGCAGCCTGGGCAACAGAGCGAGACTCCGTCTCAAAAAAAAAAAAAAAAAAAAAATAGTGTCTGGATTTTTTTTTTTTTTTTTGAGATAGAGTCTTGCTCTATGGCCCAGACTTGAGTGCTCAGGCATGATCATGGCTAACTACAGCCTTGCTCTTCCTGACTCAAGCAATCCTCTTACCTCAGCTTCCAGAGTAGTTAGAGCTACAGGCATGCCACCATGCCCAGGTTTTTTGTTTGTTTGTTTTTTGTTTTTATAGAGACAGAGTCTTACTCTGTTGCCCCGGTGGAATTCTTTATGATCATAATGACTATTCACTCCAGGATTTCCCTTTAGTTGTGGTATTTGTATAATCCTTGGTTTGATTGTGAATTTCTATGTAATCTAGCAGCAGTTTTTTGCTGTGTCACAACTGCATGCACCTGAGTCCATGTTCATGGAGTTGGGCGTGAGTAGTGTGTTGTGTCAAGGAGGTGAAACATTACTGAGGTGGGTGGCTTTAGGTAGTATATACCAAGTTATGTTTCCTAATTTGAAGATAATCCTGCAGGAAAATTTATTGTAGGGAAGAGGATGATATGGTGCAGTGATAAAATGGGGAATTAGGAATCAAAAGGTTTGAGTTCCCACTGCACTGCTCACTTGCTTTCTGATCCTAACAAGTTTCTAACTCCTCCAAGCCTCCATTCATCAAATGATATATAGAAACGCTCTCTCAGGGGGTTGCGAGGATCTAATTAGAGGCTATCAAAGACTCTTTGTACATTGTAAAGTGCTATTCAGATATTATTTATTTTAATAAACAGTAATTACTTTATGTCAGGCTCTTTAACAAAAATTCTTACAATTCAGACTTCCTATCAATACTGCAAAGCCGGCATTATTGTCACCGTTAGTCAGTAAGGAACCTGGCCTACAGAGAATGAGTAACTAAGTAACTTGCTCACTTACTGCTTTTAAGTGATGGTTCCCAGTTTAAGTTCCAGCTGCTTTTTTGCTGTGTTGTCTTGCTGTTAATAAAGTATAAATGGTAGAGGTTTGAACTTTAACAACAACTTGGATTACGCTTCTGAAAAATAGAAGTGGTGCTCTAGACTAGGAGTCAGGAGGTTCAGACCGTTACTATATTTTTGTATTATTTTGGGGTAAGTTACTTAAATTTTAATTTCATTAAATACATTTAAAACACTTGGCTATGTTTCTGCTAAGGTTTATATGTAAAATGCTTTCTTATTCTTTTTTTTTTATCATTTTCAGAATTTAAAAATTTCCTTCGAAGGGATCAAAAGTATTTTATGAATCTGTTTTAATATTTGTTTGCTTGTTTTTCTTTTTTTAAAGTCATTCCTACACTGGCCAAGATTACAGTACCCAGGGAAATGTTGGGAAGATTTCTTTAGATCAGATTGATTCGGTAAGTAGCACATTCTTTTAAACTTAGAACTTTATCAATGGAGGGAACATATACTTTCTTAAATCAAAGACTTTTGGGTGAGGAGATAGAATGTGTTTCCAATGCTTGCTGATTAATTTTAAAGAAAATCCCATGTCCTACACATATGATTTTTAAAAAATCATAGGAAAATCGTTTAATCAGAAAATTATCTGTACTTTTATAAAAGCAGAATTTAATCAGTTATTCCAAACGGAAATTCTTTTAAATAACTAAATGGAATTTGTGTTTACATTTAAATACTGTATACATTTAATGAAGGGGAAATGGAAAACACTAAGTGTATTAGTTTGTTAGGGCTGTCATGACAACAGAAATTTATTTTCTGACAGTCTAGAGGCTCGAAATCCAAGATCAAAGTGGTAGTAGGTTTGATTTCTTCCAGGGCCTTTCTTGTCTCATAGTTGACTGCCTTCTCTTTGTGTTCTCCTGTGGTTTTCACACTGCTTGCATACATCCCTGGTGTCTCTTCTTTTTGTAAGGACACTGAGTACGTGAGACCTGGGCCCAAGCCCCATGGCCTCCTTTAACCTTAATGATTTCTTTAAAGGCCCCATTTCTAAATATAGTCACATTTGGAGCTACTAGAGGTCAAGACTTTGATATATGAATTTCAGGGGGAGAGGGCAATTCATCACCTAGTGTAGGCTACGAAATTAATAGATAGCTTATTTTAACATCATTTCACTTTGTGATTCCATAGAGTAGCGTACTTTGCCATACTTGTAGAATTTCTCTTTAATACGTAACAGAATTTGCACTCCATACACAAAAGGGAAAATAAGCCAGCCATAAATAATCTTGGGTTAGACAACTACCAAATTATTCACAATAAATTAAAAATACACCAGGATTTTAATGCTTGGAAACAAGAACTGTAATAAGACTAGTAGAGAGAGACCATGAGTTTGGATCAGAATGAATAGGTCATCTTCCATTTGAAAAATTATAAAAAAGTACTTGTAGTTAATATGTCTAGAAATAACAATAGGGTTGGCTACTTTACACAGTTGATTTGTTGATTTGAAATTTATTCTCAAAGATGTCCCATCTTTTAATTTTTTTATTAAACACTTATCTCTAACAGTCCCCCTTCTCACTTCCACTCATGTGATTTGTGTTTATATAATGTGAGTGGTTGGAAGTTAATTTTGTTCCTAGTTCTAGCTAGATGTTTCCCCATTCACAAGCATATGTGAATTTGGTTAGATACTGTTGGAGTTCATAGAAATATTAATTCACTTAAGGAATATATGTTGAGCCCATCAGTTATGTACCAGCCATTGTGCTGTGGATACAGAAGTGAGGAAAACAGAAAATGTCCCTGCCTTCATGGACCTTACATGAGGGAGAGAGACAACATAATAAATAGTAAATGAGCAACATAATGTTAAATGTTATGATGATGATCCTGTCATGGGTCTGTGCCTGAAACCCCGTGGTAAGTAATACAGATGTATCTTTTTCTGGACTGCCTTCTAACTCTGTATCTGTATTGTTTGATCTTTACAACAGCATGTCATTTGCATATCCCTTGATATTTGCAACTCGTCTCCAAATGTTTTCTTTAGTTTTTTCTTCTAACAAATCTGGCTTTCTCAATGCTATTTCCCTGTGGCCCTTTTCAAGTAGAGACAACTTTCCCCCTGAGTTCGTACATAGGTGTGCCCCGAGTGTCTTGGTCCACATTTCTCCGCCTTCCATTGTTACAGCTCCAGCTCCTTTAAAGCCCTTATGATCTTATTATATCATCTGATACCTCCTCTGTTGCTACTCCACCTCCTCCCTCCACACCTGTATTCACTGATGATTTGAACACCTAACTAATGATCTTGTGTACTGGTGCTATTCTTATTATTGTTCTTGGCCTCTACAAGATCCAAGTTGATAATTCATCCTCTATCCTGGACTTATGATTCTTTTGTTTGCTCATTTTCCATAATCATTTTTCTATCTGTATATAGCTGGACACTATCTTTTAAATTTTTATTATTTGGACTACTGCCCACACCTCTTAAATATCCCTCCTGCTTCCATTCTTACTCTCATATAGTCTTTTCACTACATAACAGCCAGAGTTCTCTTTGTTTATTGAATCACGTCAGTCTTCTGGTCAGAACCCTCTAGTGGGTTTTCATCATATGTAGACTAACATCCAAACTCATTTTATGGCCTCTGAAGCCATATGTGCTCATCATTTCTATTTTGTGTTCTGCTCCATTCTGGCTCACTCACTTGCTCTGGTCACATGGATCTTATGCTATCTTTTAGCACACCATGTTTATTCCTTCTCAGGATCTTCATTTCACTAGAATGCAACTTACCTTGTCTTACTTGAAATGCCATCTCCTCAAAAAGGCTTCCCTGGCCACCTAAATTGAAGTACCTCTCCCCTAATCACACTTGATTTCATTTCTCTATTTCATTTCCAGTGCTTTGGCATCAGATGTTATCTTTTTAATGTCTGTATTCATTGTCCATCTCCTTCTAATAAAATGTAAGCTCTTTGAGGACAGGGTTTTTGACTTCTTTGTTCACTACTGGTTCCCCAGGGCTGTACACATAGTAAGTGTTAAATAAATATTTGTTGATTGAATGAATAAAAAGTAGTCAAGGAATGTGCCAAAAGAAATAGAAATTGAGTTGGGTCTTGAATGATGACTTGGCTTTGGCTACATGGCGTGTGCATGAGAAGTGTGCACCAGGTAGGGCTAGCAGAGTGAGAAAAATGAGAAACTACAGAGCATGACTGCGTGGTCATGGGATAGTGAATAACCCAGTGGACTGGAGCTGAAGACTTGTTTTGTTGTAGTAATAGTACACTGGGCTTTCCCGGGCTCCCTGCCACAGTGCTTCTGTGGTGCTCAAGTTTTGCCCTTGTTGGAGCCTTCATTTTGTCATTTATTTCATGTGTTTAACTTACCTAATAGTGAATATAATCATCGTTGCGTTTTTTTCCTTAACTGAATTGAAGGGGAAAATTATGTCCTAGCTTATTTTCCAGAACACTTAATAAATAATTGTTCTGTTATGTATAATTGAAAAATAGTTATTGGCCAGGCACAGTGGGTCATGCCACCTGTAATCCTAGCACTTTCAGAGGCTGAGGTGGGAGGATCACCTGAAGTCAGGAGTTCGAGACCAGCTTGGCCAACATGGTGAAACCCTGTCTCTACTACAAATACCAAAATTAGCTGGGCGTGTTGGCAGGCACCTGTAATGGCTACTACTGAGGAGGCTGAAGCAGGAGAATTGCGTGAACTTGGGAGGCAGAGTTTGTAGTGAGCTGAGGTGGCACTGCTGTACTCCAGCCTAGGCAACAGGGTGAGATTCCATCTGAAAAAAAAAAAAAGAAAAGGAAAAAAAAGAAAAGTAGTTATCAGATATTGAGGAAACCTTGAATGTTCATACTAAGGATGTTGAATATTGATTGTATAGATTAGAACAATGTTTAGGAAAAAATCAGATATTAATATGAGGGAACAAAAATGGTCACATGAAAATGAGCTGAAAGACTTTCTAGTTAGTTCTACCAAGGAAAGATATAGGTCTGAATGAACTAGATTGGGGAGGGAAAAATTCAGAAGCTGTTACTATAAAAGAATGAAGAGAAACTGGATGGTCACTAGAGGGAGCAGCAAAGTCAAGCAAAGTGAGACCTGCTGTTATAGATGAAGTGAACTTGCTAAGGCATAATGTGAGGGAGTGAGAATTTAAGTCTTGGGAGGATATTTAAAGAAATCGTAGAGAATGCAGTTGAAACCGTAAGTGAAAAATTAAAGTGGGCAACAATATTTCATTTTTGACACTAAGGGAAAGACCTACACTTTGTTCCTTTTAACTTGATTTCTTTAACACATTTATTTGAATTTTCCTTATGAGAACAATTTCTCTTATTTTTGTGTTCTGCTTTGTATTTGAGTTATCTTAAAAGTTCATCTGCTATTCAGCAATTGTGCTTTTATCTCAGGGAAATGAAATCTTATGTTCACATAAAAACCTCTTCAAGGATGCTCATAATAGCTTCATTTAAAATAGCCCAAACTGGAAACAACCCAAGTGTTCTTCAGTGAGTGAATAGTTAAATAAATTGTGATACATACCATGGAAAACTACTTAGTGATAAAGAAATTAGTTTACATACAACTTAGATGAATCTTGAGGGAATTCTGCTGAGTAAAAAATGACAATCTCAAAACAATACATATTATATGATTCTATTATATAATACTCTTGAAATGACAAAATTATAGAGGTGGAGAACAGATCAGTGGTTGCCAAAGATTAGGGAGCTGAGGGAGGGGAGCAGGGTGCAAAAGGTTATAAAATCATGAGAGATCCTTGTGGTGACAGAACTGTTCTGCATCTTGACTGTGGTGGTGGATGTATCAACTTATGTGTGACAAAGTTGTATAGAATTTAATACAGAAGTAAGTGCATGAGTACAACTGAGGAAACCTGAATAAGACTAGTGAGTGGATTGTATCAATGTCAGTATCTTGTTTGTGATAATCTACTGTAGTTGTACATGATTTTCTCTTTGGGGGAATTTGGATATATGCTATCTCTTTGTGTTATTTTTTGTAACTGTATGGGGGTCTATAGTTAACTTCAAAGAAAAAGTTTAATTTAATTTTAAAAAGGTAAAATAAAATTTAATAGTATCTTATTTAACCCAAAGTATCTAAAATATTATATTAACTTGTAACCAATTTAAAAAATGTTAATAAGAAACATCTGATATAGATAACAGTCATCTGTAACCACAGCAATAAAGAAGCACTTTCTTATGGGGTTTGTTATTTATTCCAATTAAATTGAATTAGCAACCATAACAAATACTACAGGGAACCTGATAAGTCTTCCACGTAACTTAAAACTCTTCTGTTTTTTCTTGTAGCTTTCTACCAAATCCTTCCCACCTTGCATGCGTCAGTTACATAAAGCCTTGCGGGAAAATCACCATCTTCGTCATGGAGGCCGAATGCAGTATGGCCTATTTCTGAAAGGCATTGGTTTAACTTTGGAACAGGCATTGCAGTTCTGGAAGCAAGAATTTATCAAAGGAAAGATGGATCCAGACAAGGTAATTTTGAAAAAAAAAATCAGAGTGGTACCTGATATTTTAATTTGGTCTGAAAATCAAACAGTCTGTTTTTTTTTTTTTAATATGCTCCCTGCAATGTAGTTGAAAATTCTAAAAGGATAAATGTGTTGACAATTCAGTTTAAATAAAAAGAGACTTGCATATTAATCTAATACAAAAGATTGGGAAAGGAATGTTTTCCTTTGTAGGTATACTGCCAGTAGTAATTATAAGACTGAAATTGCTTTCAGTTATATTTCTGTAGGAATGTATTTGTATCTACACATACACATACATGTACATATGCACATAATGTTTTGAGCACCGGGAGATATCATGAACAAATAAAGTGAAAACAATTTAAAATATTTGCTATTATGTTATGCAGAATCTTTTATACACTTTTTTTTTTTTGAGACAAGGTCTTCCTCTGTTGCCCAGGGTGGGCTGGAGTGCAATGGTGCAATCATGGCTCACTGGCTCACTGCAGTCTCAACCTTTGGGCTCAAGTGATCCTCCCACTTCATCCTTCCGAGTAGCTAGGGCCACAGGTGCACACCATTATGCCTGGCTAATTTTTTTTTTTTTTTTTTTAAATTTTTTGTAGAGATGGAGTCTAACTGTGTTGCCCAGGTTGGTCTCAAACTCTTGGGCTCAAGCCATTTTCCTGCCTTGGTGTGCTTGGGATTACAGCCGTGAGCCTGAGTCATCATACCCAGCCTATAGAACGTTTTTAGATAGACAATAGTCATTATAAACCTGAACAACTTTTTAAAAAACCTGTCCACAGTGCTTATATTCCAAATCCTACTCCTTATTTCTCTTTAATAGTGCCAGCTAATAACATTTTATTTGGAAATATGATTTCTTGCCCCCTCTATGCCATGACACTGTGGTATGAAGAGCATTTTTTACTATTTATTTCTTGATTTGCTGCCTCCTAAGAGTAAATTATAGAAGAAAGATTATTTACGAGGTACATTTTATAGTACATTTTATGTTTTATGTTAGTTTGCAAGCGTTGCCATAATAAAATACCACAGACTGGTTGGCTTAAAAAACAGCAGTTTATTTCCTCACACTTCTGGAGGCTGGAGTCCAAGATCAAAGCATTGGCAGATTTGGTTTCTCCTGAGGCCTGTCTTCTTGGCTTACAGGTGGCCTTCCTCTTGCTTTGTGCTCACATGGCCTTTTCTCTGTGCATGTGCATCCCTGGTGTTTCTTCCTTTTCTTATAAATACACGAGTTTTACTGGATTAGGGCCCCACTCATCTGATCTCATTTAACCTTAATTATCCCTTTAGAGGCCCTATCTCCAGTTACAGTTGGATTTGGAGTTAGGGGTTCAACAAATGACTTTTAAGAGATCACAATTCAGTTCATGTCTCTAGCTATATAGTTTATTAAAAAGCTCAGATTTTACAAAATAACGTTATAAAAAGCTCTTACAGTTTTTTCAGATTTGTTTTAAAAACTGTCTTCGTTGACCATTATCCATATAATCTTAATGAAGTCATTTAATAGGATTTTCTTTGAACAGTTTTGGATAATGTTTTTTAGACCTCTATTATATTTCTTTTAAAGGTAATTTATTCTAATTATAGAAAATATGAAAAATACAGAAAAATTCACCTGTTATCCTCCAATTTGAAATAATTACTCTCAACATTGTAGCCTTTTACTCTAGTCTGGACAACTAAACACCACTGGTTTTCACCATTCTAAAAATTGTCATTATATTATGATTATTTTTCCATACTTTTGACCAATCTTTGAAAATATCTTAATTCATTACATACTATTATATCCTTTGAAAGTGCTGTAATTTGACTCTGTTATATATGTTACTAATATAAATAACAGAGTCAAATAGCTAATATCCTGGGGACATAGATAATTGATTATAGTTTTGATTATATTCTTTGTGTGTGTATATATGTATATATATATATACACATATATACACACACACACACATTCATCAGGAAATAAAATTATCTGATAAGAAACTACACACAGCTGGGCGGGTTGGCTCACGCCTATAATCCTAACAGTTTGGGAGGCCAAGGTGGGTGGGTCACCTGAGGTCAGGAGTTCAAGACCAGCATGGCCAACATGGTGAAACACCATCTCTACTAAAAATACAAAAATTAACCGGGCATGATGATGGATGCCCATAATCCCAGCTACTCAGGAGGCTGAGGCAGGAGAATCACTTGAACCTGGGAGGCAGAGGTTGCAGTGAGCTGAGATCGTGCCACTGTACTTCAGCCTGGGTGACAGAATGAGACTCCATCTCAAAAAAAAGGAAAATACACACAATTTTAAAGTTTTAATGCATGCTGTGAAATGACTGTTCAGAAAGGTTTTAAATTAGACTCTCTTCAAGCGATGTGAGAATTTTGCTCTGCCATTGACATCATTATGTATATTATTAATTTAAAACAGTTTTTGATCTTTTTATTAGGAATTTGATGTCTTAAGTAGGTAGATATATTAGGGTTCTCCAGAGAAACAGGACTGTGTGTGTGTTTGTCTTTGTAACTTACACACACACTCTCTGTCTCTCTCTCACACACACACACACACACACAGTGCGAGAGATAGAGAGATGGGGGTTATGGAAGTTGACAAGTCTCAAGATCCGCAGTTGGCAAGTTGGAGACCCAGGAGAGCCAATGTTGTAGCTGTAGTCTGAATCCAAAAGCCTGAAAACCAGAAGAATGATAGTGTACAGTTGATCCTCGAAATACACAGGTTTGAACTGTATGGGTCCACTTATATGTGGATTTTTTTCAATAAGTATATTGGAAAATTTTTTGGAGATATGCAACAATTTGAAAAAACTTGCAGATGAACCACCTAGCCTAGAAATATCAAAAAAGTAAGAAAAAATTAAGTATAAAGGAATGCATAAAATACACACTAGTCGTATTTACTAACATGAGATATGCAGGAATCTATTGCAAAAAGTTAAAATTTATCAAAACACATGCACACAAACGTACAAACCATACTTGGTGCTATTCCCAGTAGAGAGAAATGTAAACAAATGTAAAGATGCAGTATTATAACCTACATAAAATTAACTGTAGCACATTCTGTACTACTATAGTAATTTAATAGCCCCACCCTGTTGCTATTGTGGTGAGCCTATAAGTGTTGCAAGTATCCGCTTAAAACGCTCTGCGATGCTAATCATCTTAGTGTGAGCAGTTTGTACAGTAAATTGCATATTGCAGTAAAGTAATCTCTCACAGTTCTTGGGTATTTTTCATCATGATCAGTGAAATATCGTAAACCTTGAATAACACCATGGGGCTCATAGGAAGTGTCACTAGTAATGCTGGAAATGCTCCCCAAAACCAGAGAAAAGTCATATTACAAGAAAAAGTTGATTTGCTTGATATGTAATACAGATTGAGGTCTCCGGCTAAGGTTGACTGCCATTTCAGACAGATGGTTCATCTTGTAAATAGATAATGTAAACTTATGGTTTACTGTAAATGTATTTTCTTGTGACTTTCTTTTTCTTTTTGTATTTTTAGTTGAGATGGGATTTCACCATTTTGGCCAGGATGGTCTTGACTCCTGACCTCAGGTGATCTGCCTGCCTTGGCCTCCCAAAGTGCTGGGATTACAGGTGTGAGCCACTGTGCCTGGCCTATTACGACTTTCTTAATGTTTTTTTTCCTCTAGCTTATTTTATTGTGAGGTTACAGTGTATAACATATAATATTCAAAATATGTGTTAATTGACTGTTTATGTTATCGGTAAGGCTTATGGTCAACAGTAGGCTTTTAGTTGTTAAGTGTTTGGGGAATAAAAAGTTGTACATGGATTTTTAACTGTATGGAGTGAGGGGTGGAGGTTGTTGCCTATAATCCCTGCGTTGTTCAAGGATCAGCTTTAGTTCCAACTCAAATGCCAACATCCTAGAGACCCAGAAAGAGTCAGTGTTTCGGTTTAAAAAATGAGGTCCCAGTTTAAGGAAGTCTCAGACAGAAGGAAATTCCCTCTTACTCACAGGAGGTCAGGCTTTTTGTTCTGTTTAGGCTTTCAACTGATTGGATGAGAATTATCCACATTAGGTAGGGCAGTCTGCTTTACTCAGACTACCAATTCAAATGTTAATCATATCCAGAAACACCCACTCAGACACACCCACTATAATGTTTGACCAAATGTCTGGGCATCTCATGGCCCATTCAAGAGCTGGGTTGTTTGTTTTTTTTTGAGACAGTCTCGCTCTGTCATCCAGGCTGGAGTACAGTGGCGCAATCTCAGCTCACTGCAACCTCTGCCTCCCAGGGTTCAAGCGATTCTCCTGCCTCAGCCTTCCAAGTAGCTAGGATTACAGGTGTGCACCACCATGCCCAGTTAATTTTTGTATTTTTAGTAGAGATGGGGTTTCGCCATGATGCTCAGGCTGGTCTCAAACTCCTGACCTCAGGTGAGCCACCCGCCTTGGCCTCCCAAAGTGCTGGGATTATAAGCGTGAGCTACTACCACCACGCCTGGCTGGCGAGCTGGGCTGTTTTGAAGTGAAAAGAGAGAAGCTGAGCTAGCATTTTAGCTTGGTTTGTGCTGTAAACTGAGAGTGGAAAAAGGAAGGTAGAGAGGGAAAACTAGCTGCACCAACCTATATGGACACTTACCCTGAGTACTAGGTCTTTGGCTTAGACACCTGTTCATTGGCCTGCATTCTTTTATGTACATCTGGAATAGCCTGTGTAGCAATATCATCAGTAGTCTTTTTTTTTTTTTTAACTTGTATGTTTAAATTTTTTTATTATGGAATTTTTATTTTGCAATGCAAACTTTTTTCAAAAATTCTTATAATTTTTTAGTTTTCTAGATAATATATAGTAGTCTGTTAGCTTATTGATTACAGCAAATATTTTGACTAAAGGATTATAAGACACATTTCTTACTTTCTATGACTATTTAGTGTTCTGTTGTTACATAGTCTGTATTTATAAATGTTCATGTTTTTCTC